AAATGGAGGTAGAAATCATGTTAAAAGAAATAAGGCAGACTCAGGAAGATAAATGCTGTGCTTTCTCTCATATATGGAATCTAGATTTAGGTGTGTGTGTGTGTATCTTTGAAAGAATTTGTGTAGAACTGATATTATTTCTTCCTTAAATATTTTATAGGATCCAACAGTAAGCAAATATGTGCTTGAAAATTTCTTTGCAGCGGCAATCTTTTGCAGTGAGATTTTAAGAAAAAAAATGTTATTTCCTTAGGAAGATGGAAAGCTATGCAGGTTGTCTGTTTCTGTTAAATCCTCTATTTGAAAAGTAAATGGCTCATCTCAGAACTCATTTTTGTGCTGCTCTAACAGAATGCCAAACAGGGGGAATTATAAAGAATGGAAGTGTATTCTCTCAGCTGTAAGCTGGGAGGTCCAAGCTGAAAAACACAAGACCTAAATGAGACCCACCATGCTGTGTCCTTGCCCCTGACAGTAAACCACAGGTTGAGTGTAAAGATAAGGACATAACTGGGTGTGCTGGCTCACACCTCTAACCCCAGCACCAGGGAGGCAGAAGCAGGTGTATCTCTATGAGTTTGAGGCCAGGCTGGTCTGTATTGTGAGTTCCAGAAAATCCAGGGCTTGTCTCAAAATAAACAAAGATAAGGACATAATTTCCTCCTTTTGGAGATCAGTTGATGCCATGTATATATCTATATATCTATATATCTCTATATCTTAGTACCCTATTGTCTTAGTTTGGGTTTTCATTGCTGTGCACAGACACCATGACCAAGAACTCTTCTTATAAAGACAACATTCAATTGGGGCTGGCTTACAGGTTCAGAGGTTCAGTCCACTATCATCAAGGCAGGAACATGGCGGCATCCAGGCAGGCATGGTCCAGGAGGAGCTGAGAGTTCTACATCTTCATCTGAAAGCTGCTAGGAAAATACTTCCTTCCAGGCAGCTAGGATGAGGGTCATAAAGCCCACACCCACAGTGACACACCTACTCCAACAGGGCCACACCTAATAGTGTCTCTCCCTGGGCCTAGCATATACAAACTATCACACCTATTGCATAAGATTTTAATTTTAATATTTACTTAAATGATAAGTTGCTGGATCCTGCTCCTAGAGATTCTGATTTATTAAGTCTGATCTAAGGCTTGAATAAAAACATTTTCACAGCCTTCCTGAGATTTGACATGAGGACTAGGAGCCATTGGGGTAGATGACCTTGTAAAGGTTCTTCAATGCGGCTGTTGCCCAGGAATAGGACTATTAGGTGGGCTTTTGCTGCCCTCTAGAGTCCAGAGGAGGTTCTTTCATTTTAAGGAGCCTAATGATTTCAGTGTGTTGTGGGTACTGAAGTGTGCGCAATGCACCAACCAGAATGCTCGTGTGTGAAAGTGGTCATGTATCTCTGGTCCCAGAACCTTAGAACATCTCAAGTGTCACTAATGTTTTATGACTGTGAGATGTAGCAAAATCCTTCCAAAGGCTCTTGTGGAGAGACGACACTGGCATTCATGGAGTGTCTGTCCAGATTTTTCTTTACAAGGGTTATGTGACCCCAGCACCTATGAACTGAGAGCCATAAACAGTTTTATGGAGAAATCTGATGACAGTAACTGTGTCACCGAGGCATGACAATGGAAGCAGGGTCTGCCTTAAACACGTTACCTAGAAACAAACGAGCAAGGGTCCTTTACTATGCCATGCCCCTCATAGCCCACAGAGACCTGTCACAGGTTTCATCTCTCCTGTTTACTGTTCAGACACGAGGCAGAAGGGTGGATGTGGTGATTCACACACACATGACTAAAAATGGTCTCGCTGTGTCCACTGTATGAACGGCACCTTTGATCAGGAACCCTGAGCCCACTGTGCTCTCCACACAGGCATCTTCTGCCCACAAGTGCCAAACCAGCACGTAAACTGCAGGGTAGTCTGCAAACACGTGTTTTGCCCTAGCACATGGTTCTAACTCCTCAGCCCTGAGACAGAGGAGCAGCTCCTGAGAAGCCAATGCAGAGAAGTGTGCAGCGGAGGGTCCTTGTGGCATGGTGAGGTCACAGCGGCTGTGGGTCCTGGTGTAGTAAATGGTGAAGCAGCAGGAGCAGGTGCAATGTTTGCAGAGTTCGTTGATTTTTGCCTGGGTAGAAGTAAAGCCATAGACGCCTAGAGGGCAGCAGAAGCCGCTGGAAGCCAGAGCCTGTCAACTGCAAGCGATAAAACACCATGGGACGTGCTGGCAGAACACGTCTGCAGTCCTGGCATTTAGGACAGGAAGTGGGAGCCCATGAGTTCAAGGCTGGCTTGGGTGGCATATTGAGACTCTGTCTCAAATAAAAAGTTATTTAGATTAACTACCTGAAGGTTTGCGATCAGAAGATTATGGATTTCTAAATGTATTGGCACATGCATAAGTCTACCCTGAAGTTGACTTAGGTTTCATCAGGACCTTATAGATGTAGACTCAAGGTTATTTAATGTGCCTGTGCTTTGACTATGACCTGTCTCGTGAGGTCAGGTATGTAGTTTTCCATGTGTGGTATCATGTTAGATTTTTTTTTTTTAAATTCAGATTTTTGGAACACTTTGAGTTTCAGATTGAGGTTCGTCAACAGTAAAAAGAAATCTGCTATTTCGCAGGCATGTGGACCTGCTGCTAAAGCACTGACACACACTGATTATCTGAGTTGCTTTTGTCTCACTGGGACCAAAATGTCTGACAAATAGGAGGGAGGGCTTCATCTTGGCTCACTTGCAGTTCTAGTTTCTATAGTGGGCAAGCATGGCAGAGTGGCTCAGTCTGTGGGAACACGAGGCAGTGGCTGTCCCCATGGTGTGGGCTAGGATGTAGAGAAAGAGCATGACCCAGGTCTATAACCTGCAAAGGCCTGGCCTGGTGAACCCCTCCCGAGGTCTCCAGAGCCGAAACTCGAGCCTGTGAAGATATCCCAGACTCCAACTTAGCACTGCTTGTTACTTGACGTTTGCTAACCTGCCATTTAGTATTCTTTCTGTGAATGAATACTCTCATTCCTGAATTTTGCAAATTCATAAAGGATGTGGAAATGGCTCGAGTCTGTCTGGTATTGAAGCGTGACTTTTCCTAAATCATCTTTAATCTAAAAATTGGTAAGAGATATTTAAGAAAAATATTCATTGATTCATCTATCAAATAATTTCCAGAATATTCTTCCTTGTAAGTAGTAAAAAAAAAATCCTCATAACCACAATTTAAATTTTTTTGCTGCGATATACTTAGCATAAAATAAACTCACCATTTAAATAACTTTTCTTGGTATTCATGTATTTACTATATTACTTTGGTGCTGGGGATCAGGTCAAAGCCTTAAACCCATTGGCAAAGGTTCTTCCACTGAGTTCCATAGCTGCCCCTTATTTGTTTCTAAGTGCGGTGTTCAGAAGCATAAAGGACACTCAGTTTGGCTGTCACCACTGTACATTTCCAGAACAGAAAGTGTCCCTGTTAAAACACCATTTCACACTTTCCCAGTCCCAGGAAAGGGTGGCTCTTGCTTCAGATGATTTAGTCTTGCTTTGCAATTAGATTTTTCAAGCATCCTGTGGACAAACAGGCAATCCTTATCTACCTTCCCGTGCATCCGTGCTGTCTAACTCAGGGTGAGCACACGATAAATACTTACCATGTGCATCCGTGCTGTCTAACTCAGGGTGAGCACACGTTAAATACTTACCATGTGCATCCGTGCTGTCTAACTCAGGGTGAGCACACGTTAAATACTTACCATGTCTGTTTGATGGAAGGCTGGATGCTGAAGGAAGGACCAAATGACCTTTTTAGAGACTTTGAACCAAGACCACTCTTAATCTGAACAAGACTTTATCAAAGAAACTGTTGGCGACACACTGTCCTGTCACCAGGACCATTAAGTTGGCATTAATGTGTGAGGCAGGGTGGGCATTGGGGTGGAATAGAGGAAATCTTGCTATGCCTAAGGGCACTCAGATTTTTATAAAACACATTTTCAGTCAAATATTGCAATCTGGTAGTTTCAAGCAAAGACTCACAGGTTTGTAGCCCTTGGCCTATTTCAAGGACTAGGCCAGGTGCCACAAGATCTGCAGAGGTGATTGTAAGGAATACAATGAATGGGACTTTCAAGTTAGTCTCATTCATGTGCTTCTGTGGAAGGTGCTGTTTATAATATCTTCCCACCCACTTTAAGATAGACTGCACAGCCTAGGATAAGTCTCACAACTCTCAGAAATAGTTAAAAGGACAGTAGCTGAGTAGTGGTGCACGCTTTTGATCCCAGCACTCGGAGAGCAGAGGCAGGCAGATCTCTGAATTCAAAGCCAGCCTGGCCTACAGAATGAGTTCCAGGACAGCCAGGGCTACACAGAGAAACCCCGTCTCAAAAATAAACAAGCAAATACACAAATAAAGAGCCAGAAAGGTTTTTTTTTGTCTTTTTCCTCCAACCTATTTTTACACAACCCCTACCCTAAGCCTTTCAATAGTAGCCATCAGTCATTCCCCGACACATTAAAATCAGGCTTTTACAGTTTAAGAATGTAATGCTTGCCCGACCCTGTTGTATGATTTTTAGTTATCTCCCCAGTACAGATGATTTGGTTTATGGTATTCCTCTTAACCTCCATCTTGTTTGAAGAGCATCTAGTGTACATAAAGACTCAGCTGTCTGGAGACAGTTGCCAGACTGTGGAATTAGCAGGGAACTCGATGTACAGGGGGTAGGAAAGCACAAAGCGGGTATGGCACCCGTGACCACGGCAGCTTTTATCACGGGCTCTGCAGCCCGTATAGACAACCAGAAACCCTCATCTGAACACCGAATCACCACATGAGTTTATCCAAGATAGGGAAAGATTTGTAATTCTACATCTGCTTTATGGAACAAGGGCTCTTTGTGATGTAGTTTGGTGGCCTGGGTATATCTTCTGTGAGGCAGAGAGCCGAACTCTAGAATTCAGAGGCATTGCATTCTAACACCCTGGAAGCCTAGGAGAGGGATGACTCGGGACGTTGAATGATGTTGATCCCTTCTTTTATCCTGTGGGATGTGGGATGCTCAGTATATACGTATGGATCTATCTTCATTATTGCACTGATTATTTGGCATGTGAAAAGGAGCCACCGAGGATTACGGTTGGGGTTGGGGCCTAACAAGAGCTGTACCAAGGTAGGGACTACTATGACCAGGCCTGAGCATGTCGTTCAGAGAAATTTATCCCCTCCACGTTTCCTGGTTATCTTACTTCTTGGTTTTTCTTTTTTTAATAAGGATTTTTTCACTAGATCCCAGATCGGTGGGTTGGTGGACATCTGTGTCCTTTGATCCCTGGAGTCCTTTGGTTACTAGCATTGCTCATCCATTAATTTGTTCCCCTTTCTTCCTGCCCCACAAGTCCTCCACAGAACTTGTCCATGAAGTGGGGTGGAGGGTATTGAGTGTGTAAGAGCCTCAAAGCAAGTCAGAGATAGGAAGAGAACATGAGCTGGAGTCATGAGATGAAGGGGAAATGCAGGGATTACAGAGCTGGACTACAGACCGTGACTGGGGAAGACTTCAGAATTTTGTTTCACTTTAGACGTGAAAAAAAATTGATGTCTCAGCTTCATGTTGTAATGCTTTTGTCTTTCAAGTGTTTCAGAAGAATCAAACAAAAGCCTAGCGATAGAACAACAAGAGGTAAGTCCTGATTCCTTTGACTCTCTACCCCTGTGGGTGGGGGTTCCACAGATCACCCTCCGTGATGACTGGCCCCAGAAACCGGGCGTTTTCAAGCCTTGAAGACTGTAAAATAAACAGTGAGAACTAATGAAGACTTATGTGGGTGGGGAAGACTTGGGACTGTCCCATCCTCTATCTGACCTCATGTCACCTCCTCCTTTTCTACAAGACGGCCACTAGCAGGGCGTTGAAGCTCATGCAGAGTTAGATACAGGACAGCAAGCAAACAGTTGTACTCAGAGCATGTGCTCTTGGGGTTGCCAAGTCACCTGTCCTTCAAAGGGCTTCAGCTTCTTATAGGTTGCCCCCTCAGCCTTCCCTTCGGCCTAACACTGTGTCCTCCTCCTTTAGCTAAGAGAACATCCAAGGAAGAAGCTGATAAACTGCAGAAGCTGCTCTCTACCATGAAAAGGTGACCGTTTGCTCTCTGTATTCTCCCAGCTCTTAGCTTGGATGTGATGATCACTTAGCCTGGTCTGGGCAAGGGAGGAGGGTGGGGGTGCTGACTAGAGACACCATGGAGTATGTCAGTCCGAGCTAAGAAGCTTGTCAGAGCAGAAGGGGCTCCTATGTCTCAACAGGGAAGGGCTACCCATTTTAGACTAGGTCCTCGTAGGTCTGCAATTCAGGGTTAATTGGTGATGGCATTGCTTGTGTTGAGATAGATGGTTCAATCAAAAGAATAGGTTTGGCATAAAGAAGCCATTACTGTTGTGTCTCTTTCCAGCTTCATCCTTTCAAGGGTAGAACTCTGAGTCTGGCTGAATTCAGCTGCTATACATAACCTCATCTCTCTTCCATAGGCCAGTTCTTGGGATACTCTCAGTTAGCAATCTTATATTTTTTTCTTAGGAGTTTTATAGAGTAGAATTGATTTATGAGAGATGTTGGAGACAGCAGCGGGGACACCTACAGTTCTTAGAATGAGGACCTCATTTCTTACAGTTTGGACATATTGCTTACCAGGCATTGGGTTTCTTAGTCCCCAAATAAAACTGATTCAGGCCTTCTGTGGTGGTGTCCTTGGTGGTTCCCCATCAGCTAATCACCTGATGCCTATCTGCCTGGTTTCTTTCTTCTGGTTCAGCTTCTCAATAAGGTTGACAGAAAACTGACTGGAGTTCCCAGTTCTCTATGAGGACTGTACCCTCCTCCGATAGCTTGTCTGAGACCTCTTCCTGGGCTCTCAGTCCAACCCACTCAACTCAAGAAAAGCAGAATAGCAGACTTCAGAAGGTAGAGGCCCAGAGCTTGTAGGGAGAGGGAAGGAAAGCAGTCTTCATGCTGTCATTAATGGTTGCCATTTCCCTTCCTAGCCAGGGCTGGCTCCCACAAGAAGGAAGTGTGCGGCGGCTCCTGTGTCCAGATCCCTCTTGCCCAATCTGCAATGCCATGGCTCTGGAAATCCAGCAATTGCTGGGGGTTGAGAACAAAAAGACCCCTTCCACTGCACTGAGGCCCTCGCGTAGCTTTTCTTGCCTGGAGGCATTGTCTCCATCCAAAGTGTTGGCTGACCGGAGTTCAGAGCTCAGTTCCCAACACTCCAGAGACATTTCATTGCCATCCAGGTTCACGCGGTCACAATCAACAGATCAGAAATCAACAGATCAGTCAGCTGCTCCGTCCACTGGTGACGCTGTCCTCCCGTGTGACCATTCTGTTCCTCAGCAACAGCAGGAACCTCAAGGATCAAATGTGTTCCAGGATGCAAGTGGCTTGTCATCTTCAAGTATGGAAGAGCCTGGGGTGCCTGCAACCCAACAAAAGAAGAGGAAGAAAAGCAAGAAACTCGTCTCGAAGAACAAAGGTCAGCAGCCCTTGTGTGCTAGGTTCCTTCCTATTCCCAACACCCAGAGCTTCCTGAACCTAAACTGATACCCTATACCCTCATATTCTCAGTACCTGCTGTTTCTATGTCCAAAAGGCCCCAAGGTTCCCCTGAGTACAGGAGGCTATAAATGCATGTGTGCCCACATTGAATTTTCCCTTGATGCTCTAGAGGAGTATTTCCCCGGGGCATCTTGTCACATTGCTTCATCATTTATAATATTTTCAAAGCCCAGAAACCCAACAATCACCAATCATTGAAAGGACGGGCTGTCATCCTCATGACTCTAGCAGTCACAGAAGGCCACTCCAAAGTAGACCACAGACCCCTCCCTTGCTTAGTTAGGTTCTACTCTCTCTGTTAAGCTTTCATTTTAGTGGCCTTTATATAATGCCTTAAAGGAGCGTGTGTGTGTGTGTGTGTGTGTGTGTACACGTGCGCATGTATGAGACATTGAAACACCAGTGTGCCATCTCTAGTTTTCTTTCTGTAGTTTATCTTTTGCTCACTGGGTTTTGAGTCTGCCTTTAGAGATCTTTCCACAAGGGGGCAGGGGAGAGTATGAGACTTTCTTAGTCAATTATTCCTTTATCTCTGCATTGCTTAAAATTTCCTACATTCCACTTAGCATTAGCTTCTTCCCCATATTCTCAAACTTGGACAAACTCAGATTAATTTCCCAGTTAAGGCCAAATGTGAAGTCTTGGTGCCTGTGACTATAGTAATGGTAGCTTCAGTGGGTTTGCCACTCGTCCAGAGAGCTCTGTGGACGTAGAAAACCACAGTGTAACACTGAGATGTGCTCCAGCCTGCCTCACCAGATCCAGGGATGATCTTGATTAGAAGCCATTTCAGACCTCACGAGGGCAGCAGCCTTGTCCTGCAGTGTGCTGGGTTCTACCTCCAAAAGCAGTTGAAATGGCAGGTTGATTTAGTATTGCTGAAACTATTCCCTAAAGATCCAGCTGCTCCTGTCCCCTGCTGAGCAGTGGCCCCTGCCCTGAAGCAGCACAACTCTGATCTTTGGTGACTTTGTTCTCTGTCTGAGCCCTGGTAGCCCTTGAAAGGATGATGACCTATACAGATCTATTGTGGCAAGTCCACAGTTGCTTGATTACACCAGAACATTGAGAGGCTGACGGCAGATCATATGTAGGAAGATCTGCTGGAGCACCATTCCTGCCTCCATCCATGAATTCTGAGACAGAAAATCACTGTCTACAGCATTCCAGGAACTCTGGACAGCAACTTGGTTCTGGTCTTCTCTGGAAAACAAGTCTGAGACACATAGATAGTAGTAATCAGCCTCCGGCTCAGATCAGACTTGCTGGATGCTTACAGGCCTTGACCAGCAGCAACAGAGTTGCCAGATGTTGTTAGCAATGACCCTAAGCCATCTAAGCCTTGTCTTAGGGAGCCATTGAGAAACTGGGAACAAGATTGCTTTCCTACCATGGCTGCCTGCTGATTTGTGAATCTCTCTGTGCTATTACACTGGCCATCATAGACAATAACACAATTCAGAGATGGGGCCTGAGTCCATTGGAGTCTCTGATTCAGTCTTAATAGTGGGATATTAAGGTCCGGCCAGGTTTTCCAAGTGCCAGTACACCTTATGCAGAGACTGTACTCCAGGCTGAAGTACCTCGGAGGATGTGTTCCTGACATTCCACAATCACTCAAAGCACTTATCTTTCCCAAACTAAATTTCAACCTGAAAAAGAAATTCCTAGAAATACAGTTGGAGAAATCTCACTCAGTCAGGGAAAACCTTTTGGTCAAAGACTTCCTTCACGCAGCAGATGTTTGCTAATCTAAACAAGCAAAAGAAAGCATTGGCCCAGAACTCTTACCCAACCAAGACTGCCATGTCCCTTAGACCTAGAGTGATCTTGCAAGAGTAGTTTTCAGCAGAACTAAAGATAGTAGAGTACAGCCAAGGGAGTCCTAGACTGAGCACAGCGTCCTAAGGCTCGCCCATGCAGCTTCGGGTATCTCCCAGATTCTTGTGCGTACTTGGGGGTCAACATGAATAATCTAACCTGAGAACCCCTGGACCCTTTAGACCAGGGTGAAGCCCAGTCCTTACCTAAGCAGGGAAGACAGAGAACCCAGTGGAATTCAAACCAGCCAAGAGCGCAGACACACTCTGCTGAGGCTCATGTGCCAGCAGATTTCTAAGCCGCACCCCAGGGCCGCTTGACTCTCCCATCTGCTCTTTAGGCTCTCTCTCAGGTAGAATTTTATTTTATGCAGATGAGTTGCTTTCAGGGAGTAGGGACTGTTGAGACCTCCCTCAGTAGAGCCACCATCTGTATTCCCATTTGTGGCCTTCAGTTTCTCAACAACACTCACCAGTTTCTTAACTGGTTCCCAGAGTATCCTTCAGGATTCCTTGGGCCAAAATAACCAAATAAGATTATCTGCACAACCATTAGATTAAACCAATGATCTTACAGCAAGGGTCCTGAGAATGCCCGTCCTGGAGTGCCCAGCCTTTATAAGGCTAGATCTTACCATGCCAACTTAGTAGGCTGGTCCAGTATTCAAGAAGGGGCTTCATTAAAAAAAAACAAATTTTTTATTTATTTATTTATTTATTTATTTATTTATTTATTGGTTTTTTGAGACAGGGTTTCTCTGTGTAAGCCTGGCTGTCCTGGAACTCACTCTGTAGACCAGGCTGGCCTCGAACACAGAAATCCACCTGCCTCTGCCTCCCAAGTGCTGGGATTAAAGGCATGTGCCACCACTGCCCAGCAAGGCTTTATTTTTTTTAAAACAGAAAAATTTCAAGGTGGGAATTCTTCCAGGCCACACCATTCTTCCAGGCCATTCTTCCAAAGCTATTCTTCCAGGGTGAAACTTGGTAGGGCTGAGGGTTGAAGGGTCTAATGGGAGACTATACTCACTAGAGTCTCACCTTTCCAGCAGTGCCCTCAGTGCCAGCAGTGCCCTCAGCACCAGCAGCGCCTCCAGCGCCAGCAGCGCCCCCAGCGCCAGCAGCAGCCTCAGAAGCCGAAATGGATAACAAGATGACGTTCTTTTCTCACTGGGTTAACCCTGAAGTGAAATGCGACAGGCCGGAGGAACCCATTGTCTTTAAGTCTGAGGTAGGGGGCAAACCCGAGACTGGACAGCCTGAGAAGAGCCACAGATCTTTCAAAGTCCATGCAGAGGGACCCGGCAAGGAGAAGCCTGCAAATGATCCAAAAGCCAAGCCTCTCCGTGCCAAGAGGAACATTTGACTTTCCTTGGCTCCTGCAGCGCCTGCACGTCTCCAGCACCCCTTCTCCCAACCAACCCTGGGCCCCATGGCTACTCCACAGCTGCTTCAAAACTGTCTACGATTAGCGTCAACCAGCTAGGAAATCAATGTCAGATCTCCTCTCAGAAGGTCCTGGTTCACAGAAAGAGGATAAACATTTCAAGCAAAAAGAGTTCATAGGCTCCCAAAGCTCTGCATCCTCCCTAACAAAGGCTGTCAACCATCATTTCTACTCCCAAGCAAGTATGCCATGATATTCTCCAAGTATACTCTATGCCTATAAAGCAAAGAACTACCTGTATTATTTTTTTTGTTGTTGTTGTTTTCATTGCCGTATATGATAAAGTAGGAAAAGCTCTCTGTGTGGTATGGATGCTTAAATCTGCCCTTCATTCTGATGGGTCAGCATCATATATACATATACATGTACATGTACACATACACATACATATATATATAATCTCCTGTGGGTAAAGGGACTAGTGTGGAGAAGGGAAGGCCCCTTGTTTAAAGCACATCGAATAGGAGCTACCTACCTTTTCCTCTAAGAATGGTCACTCTGCCTCTGTGCTATCTCTCCCTTTCACAATTTACATTGTCATGCCTATGTCACAGGGAATCCAAAGTCCATCAAGCTAATTCTGATGCAAGCACACAAGGTTCTTTACTCTGAGTTCACGAGCAAGGGCTCTCACTGTCAGAGTGGGTCAGAAGTGAGAGCCCTGAGTCTAGGGATGCAGGGTATTTATTGTGCTTACAGCAGCAAGCTTGGGGAATTTCCATTCTGACCCGCAAGTTAATATTTTAAAAACTGCATTTCTGGCGTAATCTCCAGAAACCAAACATAGGAACTAAACCACCTGATAAGATGGCTAGGTTATCTATTTTCTGCAGGCTATTTTAGGTTATCTATATGTACTTTGACGATGCTGTTGTAGCCTAGATTGGCTGCTGCTAAGGGGAGGTTGCCATAGAATGTTTGCTTAAGTGGTCTTTGTGGTCCCTGGTCAGGACTTGCACAAAATGGAGCTTCTCAAAAACAGAGTTGGTTGGTCTTTACAACGTATTCCGCTGGCTCCACCCAAGTTAACAACACTTCATGTACATCAGAAACTCAATAATAACATATTTTGGGAGTTAGAAGAGAAGAAAAGAAGGAAGGGAGGAAGGGACAAAAATAAAAGAAGTGAAGAGAAAAGAAAAAAATCCTAAAGAATCCAGCAAGCACAGGGCACTAGGAAGCATCAGCCAGTGTGGTAGAAGGAAGGCAGGAGAGGGTAGCACCCAGAAGGCTGGGGAGGAAGGTCAAGTAGAAACAGGTCAAGTAGAAAAAACTATCAACCAATTGAAGAGCAGCCAATCTGTCAGGTGAGATGACTTGGTGCTGACTATCAGACTGAGCAATAGAGCCTTCATGATCTTGAAAAGAACAGCCAAAGAACAGGTAAGATCTGCAAAGCTAGGCAGTGGTGGTGCCCGCCTTTAATCGAAGCAATGGGGGTGGGGGTGGGCAGGGGTTGGTGGAGCTCTGAGTTTGAGGCCAGCCTCGTCTACAGAGTTTTAGGACAGCCAGGGCTACACAGAGAAACTGTGTCTTGAAAAACAAATATAATTGACCTCTTTGATAACTTTTGTTCCATGAAAGTACAATTAGGCCTTTTGTTTTGTTTGAAGAAAGTAGTTGATTGCGTACAGTGTAAGGGGCGGTGAGGTGGAGATGAACTGCCCTCCAAGGGTGGTGTGTGTCTGTTGGTTGGGTTTAAACAGAAAACAGTTCTTCAGCAGCTGATGGCAAGAATAGTCAAGAGGTAAACTGATGGTTTGAGAAGTGAGAACTTCTGAAGGAGAAAGAGGACTCTGGGCAGCTGAAACTGCATATTTGGCTGGTGAGGGTGATGGTGGTCAGGAAAGGCGCTTCTTCCACACACAAGCGAGTGTGGGCAAAGGCCAAGAGGAAGGAGTGAGTGAGCAGGAAAGAGCTTGGGCTGTAAGAGGAAAAGGGTGGCCAGAGAATCAAAGCTGGGAAGTCAGAAGTGATGGTTTCTGGAGGTTACCTTGGCAAGTTTCTATCTTTAAGGAGTTGGAGGTAATGCGACTCAGGATGGGCAGAAAGGACGGAGCTGCAGATCATAAGTGTGAAGCAGGTACTCTCGAAACTGGGAGCGGCAAGAGAGATCTCCGAGGAAGCGCTGTATCCGGGGAGTTGAAGGAAGAGCTGAGACTGGAGAAGAGAAGTGGGGCATCATCCACTCAGCAGTGGATCAGCAAGGATGTGGAAGAAGTGAACGGGGGGTTGAAAACTGGGAAGGAGGAAGGAAAAGGGACAGTTTTGATTATGTGGATTCCTGTTGGCCATCCAGTATTCCTCAGAAGGCAGCATGTCTGGTGTATTTTGCCTCAGAAAAGAGCCGAGGCAAGGGCAGGAAACACAGGGCTTCCTTGTGATGTGTATGAGACAGAGCTGAGGGGGTGTGGTGGAGCAGTTGGGGGTGTGGGAGTGGACATCTCTGGTTCATAAGGAAACTTTGGATCTGTCACCATCCCATCAAGTCAAGAGGAAGTGGTAATGGTAGTTCCTTCCTCTCATAGGACCCTGATGTTTAAGCACAATGTGTTCACTGCTAACAGGATACAGAAACCCCAGGTGGGAGAAAATATGGATATGTGTGTGTCATCCCTCCCCTCCAGGGTAATTCTGTGCCTAAAGGAAGGAAGACCAGCCCTTAGTTGATCCTCAAAGCAGAGAAACACAAGGCCCAGGCTTGCTGAACTAACATTCTCCCAGATGTTTTCCTGAAGCACCCCATAGATCAAGGAGGTCTTCCAACAGGCATCCTCTGCCCAGTGGGAGCTAGGCAGAGAGCCACAGAGCTAAGAGATTACAGGGAGATCTGAATGAGGGAACTGATGGGCTCAGGTGGGAAACCAAGTTCATGTGCACACTTCCTGGGTTAAGATGGAGTGGGTTCTTCCCATGTCCCACTCCAGGCTGTCATCTGGCTTCTATTTCATGGCAAAACAGGGCAATTGATCCTCATGAACTCATGTTTATTTTACTTTTTTTTATAGAATATATTTTGATCATATTTCCCTTCCCCCAACTCCTTCCAGATCCTCTCTACCCTCATATTGCTATCCATAAGTTTATGGTGCTATCAGCTCTCCTCAGAGAATGTTCTTGCAGTAGATGGTGACTAACAAGGAGACTCCCAACTGGACAATGTGGAGGGAGAGGGAGACTTTGGAGCACTCAGCCTTAAGTGAGATGTCTTTATTAAAAATACCCTCCCTCAAGGCTCAGGGATCTGTGTAGAAGATGAAGCAGAAAGATTGTAAGTGCCAGAGGCAGTAGATGATCTGAAGGAATCTGTCTTTCCAACAAGTTCTTTTTTGAAATAAGTCTTCTTCTCTTCTCTTCTCTTCTCTTCTCTTCTCTTCTCTTCTCTTCTCTTCTCCTCTCCTCTCCTCTCCTCTCCTCTCCTCTCCTCTCCTCTCCTCTCTTCTCTCTTCGCCTCTCCTCTCTCTTCTCTCTTCTCTCTCCTCTCCTCTCTTCTCTTTTCTCTTCTCTTCTCTTCTTTTCTTTTAATTCATGAGTACACTGTCACTCTCTTCAGACACATTAGAAGAGGGCATCAAATCTCATTACAGATGGCTGTGAGCCACCATGTGGTTGCTGGGAACTCAGGATCTCTGGAAGAGCAGTCAGTGCTCTTAACCACTGAGCCATCTCTCCATTCCCCCCCCCTGCCCCCCAAAATTCTTAACCTTTACCCCTGCCTCCACCTTATCCTAGAAGTGAGGTCATAAGATGTGCAGAGCACAGGAGTGAATGTGTGCCTCCTCATTTCCTAGCTTTGTACAATCTTGTCATGACAGCCTTTTGCCAGCAAGCAACGGAGACACCTGAGCAGGGGCAGAAATTCCCCGCTCCTATTAAAAAATCGCAGCTTGTGGGAAATCCCTGACTCTAGGGCCCCTATTCTCCTCACCCTCTCCAATTCTCCATGTGCTTTGTGTAAGACAGCTGGCTACTAAGTTCTCATAGCCTCAGAATCTTACCTACCCAAGGCCTCACCCTTTAACACACCTCTCCATTGCCATCTGTCTTAGGTAGGGTTTTATTGCTGTGAACAGACACCATGACCAAGGCAACTCTTATAAGGACAATGTTTAATTGGGGCTGGCTTATAGGTTCAGAGGTTCAGTCCATGATCATCAAGGTGGCATCCGGGCAGGCACAGTCCAGGAGGAACTGAGAGTTCTACATCTTCATCTGAAGGCTTCCAGGCAGCTAGGATGAGGGTCTTACAGAGCACACCCACAGTGACACACCTACTCCAACAAGGCCACACCTACTCCAACAAGGCTGCTCCCTGGGCCAAGCATATTCAAACCACCACACCATCTTGCCTTGCCTTTGCCTGAACAAGCTGAGTCTCTGGAAAGATATTAATAAATGATTATAGTTTGTAAAAATTATTTGTGTTAAGTTTTAAGTTTTTAAAGACACAGCTTAAGATTTTCAGAAAAATGGATTGGAAAATATGAAGTTCCCATAACCCTTTCTGGCCCCTGGCAATTTTCTTTATTATTATATCTTGTGTCACACTTTTCTTTCTTACAGTTGAGGGACCAATATTGATTAATTCCTAAAGCTCACCTTGTACATTATACTTCATTTCTGTTTGTTAAAGTCACTGACTATTGATTTAAACATTTTTACAAGGACAGTGATTGTTTTAGCAAAATAGGGAGTCAATGGCACCAAATATGGCAAAGGTGAAAGGGGAGGGGAAGAGGGTGGGAACCCACCTGGGAAATTTGGTGACAGTCACCTTGCACTGGCAGAGGGGAAGAGAAGGGAGCTGCTTCCAAGAGTGGGAATTTCCGAGTGGCTGAAATATTGAAGGGAGAATTCTAGAAGACCTTGGAGTAGCTGGTGAGTGGGCCACCAGCAAGGTCTTTCTCTGTAGAGAACTGGGAGGAGCCTGGATTGGCTGAGTCCCTAGAGAGGCTCACTGCTGAGTATTGGGGACAGAAGGACTCCCCCAGTATAAAGCATCATATACTGCTGAAGACACATACAACAATGTCTTCATACATGTAAGCTGGAGGACGCTTACACATACACACTTCTCTGGAGAAGGTGTCACGTGTGCTCAGCACCAGACCAAGAACTACACAGGTCTTTTCAGGCTCCTTTCGTCTAGCCTTTGCCCAGGACTCCACCACGATGGCATGCAGGCTGAGCCATGAAGTATTAGTTTCGCTTTGATATGTTTTGTTTTTTTTTTTGTTCTAAGAAAAGGTCTTGCTGCATAGGCTGGTCTCTAATTCATGATGGCCATGTTGGGATCCCAGGTGTGCAGCTACATGTCCGACTCTGACGCTGCTGTTCTGATTGGGCTGAATGGCAGTTGCGGCTCATGTATTACTAATACCACCTACCTTGGGCCACTCCCACTAATCAGACATTCCTATTTGTGTTATACATCCTACAATTTTCTTTCTTTTTACTCTCTAAGGATTTTTGGTATAGTTTTTCTTCATTCTTGAGAATTTCACACATGAAATATGACAATAATCTTCAAATCTCCAATTTCCCCTCTAACTACTCCTTTATCCTTCTAATATGTCCGTCATGTCTTTTTATTTATTTTTTTAGTAGCCCACTGAATCCAGTTAGTGCTGCCTATATGTGCATGGGTGTGGGGACATCCAGTAGAGCGTGGGAAATCTAACAATGACCACAGCCTCAAAAAATAATGAGCTTCCTTTCCCCAGCAGCAATCAGCAGCCAATGGCTCCTCAGTGAGGGGTGGGGCCTGGAGATCATCTATGTCATCTGTGCCAGGCTGGCTTGCTCGTGTGCAGGTAGCACAGCTTCTGTGAGTTCATGACTATGAGCCATGCCATGTCTAGAGGACAGGACTTCACAGCACTCTGCCCGTCCTCCAGGTTATACTTCTTCCATCTTGTCTTCTGCAAAGTTCCCGAGCCCTGGTGCTAGGGTGTGAATACAGATGTCCCGTTTAGTGCTGAGCGCCCAGTCTTTTATCTTCAGCATTGTGACCAGTTGTGTGTCTCCACTTTGACTGGTGTCCTCTGCAAAAAGCAGTTGCTTTGACCAAGGTCGAGAGTGGCTCAGGTCTACAGGTTTTAACGCTAATATATAGAATGCAACTTGGCAACATGATTACATTAGTTACTTTTCTGCTGTTGAGATAAAACACCTCAACGGGAAGAACTGGTTTATTTGGGCTTACATTTTCAGAGGGAATACAGCCCAACACAACAGGAGAGGCATAGCAGCAGGCATGGCAGCAGGAGCCTAAGGTAGGTCTGGCATTGAGAGTCTGGCTGATCACTTCTCACTCACACATGAAACCCTGAGGGAGCAAAGGAAGCAGAGCCAGGTTATAAAGCATCCCCAGTCACCTGCATCCTCCACCAACGCTCTGGATGTCTGTGTACCATGTATGTGCCTGGTACATAGAGGCCAGAGAGGATGTTGGATCCCTTGTGACTGGAGTTATATGTAGTTGTAAATATCTTCTTTGTTTCTTGAGACAAGGTCTCACTATGTAGCTCAGGCTGGCCTTGAACTCAATATCCTCAGACTGCGATTACAGGCTCCTGTCACCATGCTCAGCTTATCAAAATTCTTAGGAAAACAGATTTTTAAAAAATTATAATATTTTAAATTACGTCTTTGAGAATTTCATGCATTTAAACAATGTTTTTTTTATTATCCCTGTGGAGGGACTTGTGTGCCTGATGCTGTCATTCTAGCTCAAGTCTATGGGGGTCATGTCATAGGGGTCATGGTCCCTAGAGTAGAGTCAGCTATTGTTATTTTGCTAAATGTTCATGGTGCCAACTTTTGTCTTTGAATATTTATACTTACACCTATAGATGTGGGCTAGTCTTAACCTTGGCCAGAGAAGCTTCTTTTTGGAGTGGAAATAAGTCAAAGCTGAGATGTACAGCTGGTGAAAGAGTAAGGAGGGAGACTGTGTGTTCCAACCTAAGTGGAATAGCATCAATTCCTCCCACAACCACTACCGCCAAGACTCAGGAGAGGGAAGGGATGCAGGATGGGTGCAGCATCGTGAAGTGCCGTCCCCGGGCACGGTACGCCTGTCTCGCTCATGCACTCACAGCAGCTGTGGCTGTCTCCACAAGACCTGAACAAGATCAAGTCAGCCAAAATCCTGGCGTAGATGTGGGTAGATGATCTCCAGGCCCCTCCCCTCACTGAGGGGCTGTTAGCAGTTGATAGCTGCTGGGGAGAGAGAGAATCATTCTGAGGATGTGGTCACTGGATGAATTCCTATGCTCCAGTGGATTGTCCCCACAAACCCACACACAGGCAATGCTAACTGGATAGATATAGTGGGTTTTTTTTTTTTAAAGACATGAGCCTGCCTGCTGTACCACCATATGGTGCTATTGAATTGAAGATGCCCAGAGGCTTGCTCATCACATGGCCACTTGCAGCTGGACCCACTACATTGTGCAGGTATGTGGTAGAGAGATGGGGAGGAAAGGAGAGAGGAAGGGAGGGGAGAGAGAGAGAGAGAGAGAGAGAGAGAGAAGCTGAACTGGATGCAAGGGTAGAGAGAACAGCCTGATGTTAGTAGCCTGCCCTGCCAAGAGGCCATGGTGAAGTCCCAGCATGAACCACCATGCCTTTGTCTGTGACCAAGCAGCAGCAGGGGCAAAGGGATCAAGCAGTTAGCACAAATGCATAAACTAATGGGAAGAGCACAAGAATAACTGGTCCTAGAAATGACTTGCAAAACACTTGCCCTGTGTCTTAGATGCACATCAAACACAACTACAAGAATATCTAACCACAACTAGCTACTGTTTTTTATGATTCAGAATGGAAGTGGCTAACAAATGCCTCCGTACAGGTATCACTGCCTTGAGCAGGTAGGATGCTGTAACATGGATAGAAAGAACTCCAGATACATAAAGCCTTGTCAGAGCTCCACAATAAGCCGAGTTAGTGAGCCTCCACGAAGAGCGCTCTTTCCACTCAAACTGGAGGCTTCTCCTCCTTGCTCTTACTGTGCAATTTAAGGACAGTGCTATCTTTGTGGTTGGAACACTGTCTGGACTTTTGGGTGAAAGATACTATTGGCCAAATGTTTTGCTGAGGAAACTTTCCATCGGTCTGATTCTGTAATGAGAGCAGGGGCTGATAACTGACTTACACCTGTGCATAATTTGGTAGGCATATTAAAGTAAGATGCATTATGGGAAAGAACATGTACAGTAAGAAAGAGGTTATTATGCCCAGATCCGAGGGTCCCCAAAGATCACCAGGAGTTGAACTCTAGTATGCAAAAGCAGAGAGTCTTTATGCAAGCTTGAGCTCCGACCCTCAGGCCCTTCCAGTGAAGCAAGGTAGCACAGAAGGCCCCAAGCACCCAAGGTTCTGCCTTTTTATTGTGGCTACAGCAAGGTGAGTGGCTCATCAACTTGGCAGTTAGATGGTTGGTTGACAATGACTTCAGTTGACTTAAGGAATCTATATCTATCTACCTCTGGAACATTAGGTATTTTCCTGCTGGTGGCCCTTGTCTAGGGTGGTTCCTTCCTGGAACAGTTTGTGCTTTTTCCAGTAATTAGGGTTTAACCTAAGAACAGGGCCTGGTGTATAAAATGGAAACCTGGTTACAAGATGGAGTCTGTCTTGTCAAGTTGGGGCCCTTCAAGGTTACATAATATTCTGTCCGTCATGATAATCACCTATGCAACCTTTAGCAACCAAACTCTTCCTTCTCTTAAATCCCATAAAAGGAAATGCTGAACAGTCCTTGGGGGACCTTGCATACCTTTAGTCAGTGGCCCACGGTCACTATTTTAACCGCATGCTTTCTTTCTCTTCTATTCTATCACTTTGCTTTGAATACAATTTTGTACTTTGCAAATCTGTATCTGCTCATTTCAATGCTATGAATTAGATGTCAAGAACCCGCAAGCACCAAGCCCAGACTCTGACCACCAGGAGCAACTACAAAGTTGTGAAGAAAAGAACCAAGCTAGCAGACTGGTGGGGTGGAGTGGGTACAGGGAAAATGGAGAGCAGGCCCTGCTTGTGAATGTGACATTCAGGTCGAGGGTTCATGACCTTTAAGATAACCATGCATCTTCTTCTATAGACTGAATTACTGCACAGGCTTCTTTTATGGAATGGAGGTCTTTGTGATGCAGTCTGGTGGCCCGATTCTATCCTCTGTGATGTGCGCAGCCAACGCTCAGCCCTGGGAGATATTAGTCACTTGGACTCTGAATGTCATAAGAGTAGGGATGGCTGGTCTCCTCATGCTAATGAGGTTTGGACCATGTTGAGCTCTATGTGCTTTCTGTGGGACATCAACTGTCCTTCATACGTCTATTTCTACATCTTCATCATTGTCCTAATTGTCTGGCAAGTGCATCAGAATTACCGAGGATTGAAGTGTGAACATAAAAGAAGCTGCTGCCAGGTAGGGAGACCCTGGGACCACTACTGAACTAGTTGAGAAGCTTTCAAGATCCAGTGTCTGCCACCTTCCACTTACAACCTCATTACCCCATCTGGCAGTTTTGATATGATACTTTTAAGGGTGTTTATATAATACCTTTCTCCTGTGAGGCCTTTCCTTACCAGGACATTCATGAGTTGTAAGCCAAAATCTTTTGTATTACTTTGAATAGAAGATTACCATTATCTCAGATCTCCCAAAACAGGAGAATTTCCCGACTTAGTTTGTTATGGCATTTATACATGGAAGGTCCTTTATATTAGAACACATCCTACATATGTCCTAGTCTTTCTACTGTTTTGCCTGCAGACTCTGGTAAAACATCACTCAGTAGCTGGATAGGAAATAGAGTTCAGATCAGTTTCAAAGAGAACCAGAAGGATGGAGAAGAGGGGTAAGTCAGGAAAAAAAAAGGTAGACCCTAGCAGAAGGTGATGGAGGAGAGAGTAAAAATCACACACAGGTAATGAAAAGAAAGGAAATGTATAAGATCTTTGTCACAATATGGACATGAGAAAAATTTCCAGCTTCACATTCTAATATTTTTCTCTTTAAGCGTCATCAAAAAGTCAGGCAAAGGGCTAGAGATGCAGCGTCAAGAGGTAAAGTCCCACTGTCCCCTGACTCCCTGCCCCTGGGAGAGCGCCCACAGTTCCTCTTCTCTATGACCCTGCCCAGTGCCAAGTGCTCTAACTTCTGAGGTTCCAGAGCCACTAACTGGTGACATTTACAAAGGACTGCTCTTGATGGGAAATCAGAAAGTAAGAACGTTAAAAAATTCTCTGCCTTACTCCCCTGACAAGAAAGAATTGAGGAATTAAGGCATCCTTAACTGTCATTTACTAAGTTTATGACCCTATGGAATTCATTTCACCTGTGGGTTTATCAATAAAGTAAGCATACCATTAATTACCCCTACACAGGGGAGAGTGCATTGTAAATGGTAGTCTCTGCACAGACACGCCATAGAGCACCGAGTCTAGATGCTCAGCTTCCTCTTACTGAGCTGAGCATTTACTGTTCAGATTCCTGTAGGAGACCCCTAATGTGCTCATTCGCCACATAACCCTGTGTCCTGATTCCTCAGCCAGGAGACTTTCCCGAGAAGAAGCTGAGAAGCCATGGGAGCTGCTCTCTATCATGCAAAGGTGACCTCTTGACCTCTGTGGTCTAAACTCTGATCATTTCTTGGCCTGATCTGGGCCAGGGGGTGAGGAAAGGGGTAACTGAGGGAAGGAGGCACACACTGTGCAGGCAGGTTCACCAGCTGAGAGGACTGCCAGGCCAGAGATGGGTCACATCTCAGCAGGGAAGAGCCACCTCATACCCACTCTGTATGTTAGGGTCTCAGCAGTTCTGAAATTCAGATTGGACTAGCACAGACTCTGTAAAGGACATTGCTGGGGTTACACCCAGACACCAAGCTGTCAAGACAGTGAATTCAACATAAAGAGGTCACCATGTCATATGGGCTTCCCTCTGCCCCCTTTCAAGGGCAGAGCCCTGGGTCTGGCTGGACCCTGCTGATATTACCTCCTGTCTGTCCTCAGGGTGGGGGACCAGTTGCCAGATGCCATCGCCCCATCATCTTACCCTCTAGTTTCTGGAGAGCAGGAATGATTCCCAAGAGTTTCTGGATCTAGCAGCAGGGACACCCCATGCTTTGAGTGAGGACCTCATTTCCTACAGAATAGGGTTAGAACTTGTGGGACTGGAGAAAAGGGCCCAGGAATCTCCAGACACATTCTTCCAAAGAGGCAGATGTAATTCATCCATTAATGGTTGTCTTTTTTCTCTTCCAAGACAAAGCTGGCTCCCCAAGGAGGACAATGTGCGGCAGCTCCTGTGTGTAGATCCCGGCTGCCAAATCTGTGAGGCTGTGACTCTAGAGATTCAGCAGTTGCTGCAGAGTGAGAAAAGCCAGCTCTCCCCTGCTTTGTTGGGACTGCCACAGGGCTCTGCTCGCCTGGAGATGCCCATATCCAGTGAGTCTTTTGAATGGAGTGAGGAGCTTTACTCCAGGCATTCCACAGACTTTCCAGTGGCACCTGGAAACCAAATACTCACACACCTAACAGAACAGTTAACACAGCCGACTGACGAAGATGGTGTCCAGCTTTGCTGGACTGATCACCTCCAGGTAGGACAGGAATTTCACCTGGCAGACATGTCCATGGCCTCTGAGATTGTGGCTTCTTCAAGACTTGAGGAGTCAGTGGTTTTAGTGAATGAGGAAGACACAGCACACAGCGATTTAAACTATATCCAGCAGATCCAAGACCATGAGGCATTGAACTCACAGATCCCTTTTCAGACCCTGAACCCACAAATCACTCATGTCACACATCCTATTACTGTGTCGACTGTCACCGATATCCCCCAGCCGTTCCTCAGTCCCGAAGTGTTAAGGCTTTTGGAGCTACATGTGAAAAAACTGATGCATTTCCAAAGGTGGGGGCTCCCCAGACGCGTAGAGGAGTCCTTAAAGCAACTCATGCCAAACCCACCAATGTATTTCCAGCCAGAACATAACCAACAGGTTTCACTTATCCTGAATACTAGTTCTCAAGACAGTGTTCATAGGTTTGGGGGTATTTCCCCCCAGACCTGGTACTCATATATGGACGGACAACCTATCCAGACCTTTTGGGTTTCCGAGTGGTCTAGTGGAGATGCAGAACAAAGACTACCCTGCAAACCAATTCCCAGCCCTGTGGGAAAGCCCTTCTTCACTCCTGAATTTGAACTTCTGCGTGGCCTCTGTCTACTGCCTGAGGGACAAACTAATGATTCCCAGAGCAATCTTCAGAAGAAATTCACTCAGTTATTCTGCGGTCTTCCTTCTATGCACAGTGAGTCCTTGGGGTCCACCTTCTTACACATTCAAGGAGTCTCCAAGGACGACACACTCAAACCTTTCTACAAAGATCCTCATTTCTTGAAGGAGTCACCACCCATTCCCTCACCAAAGGCAGCCCCTCCCACTTCTTCAACTTTTCCAAATGAGTCTTTGTATGAGCATGAAAGAGCTCAGATTGGTGTCCCACTTCTGACTCTATCAGAATGTAAAACCTTGGAATGGCATCTTCTACAAAGACAGCTTCAGCTTCAGTGGGGCCTGCCAGCTGTCATCCCTGGAGCTCCATATGCGCCAAGCCACGCACAGTATAAGCCACGTAATAAAGCCAAGCCATGTGGGACTTTAAAAGCCTTCCCACCAGGAAAATCATTCTCGGTCCTCACCAGAGAGCTTTTCTTCATCCCACGGCACGCACGCAGGCTGTTGGAATTCCACATCCAGAAGCAGCTGATTCACCTTCGCTGGGGGCTGCCCCAGAGGATCCAGAGCTCCATTCATAAGCTCCTCTCTTCTCCTGACCAGCAGTCCCTGTCCTGCAGGGTCAGTAGGCTACCCAGTGTGAGCATCCCAGAGCCAGGGAAGCCAGAGGCCGATGGGTCTGGTGACATGTTGTCACCCGCAGTGGGCAAAGGGACAATCCCCATGCCACACTTGTTTACTGAGGCAAAGGCAATATTGAAAACCCATGTTGATACCAAATGTGAACAGATCCATGAGGGCAAGGTCCCTGCCTGTGTCAAAAGCTCTTGGAAATGCAAAATTCCTGGGAACTTGGCAGGAGGGACTTCATCCCTAAACATTTCACAAGGTCAGTCCTTAGAGCTACAGGCAGAAAACAACCCTGACCTACATCAAGAAGTTGTTCCCTGGAAACCAATGGACCTTGACCAGGAGACGCAGGCCCTTTCAGGCGCTTTCATTGAACACTGTAGGCGACCCCAAGCCCTGTCTGAGGAAACCATCAAGAAACTGGAGACAACTTTAAGACATAAGTATTTGGCCTTCCTGTCTGGCCTGCAGGCCCTTTACTGTGTGGCCCCGACTAGAACAACATCCCCAGTTGTTGACCAATCTGTAATCACAACTATGCCCAGGCCTACCAAAAGCTCACAGAAACCCTTACCTCAGAAGTCCCCATTTGAAGGTCCATGTTGGAGTGGGCTTGAGCCCTGTACTCAAGATGACGATGAGACCTCTGCAAACATTGCAGAAGAGTTCCAGCGTGGAGTGCAGGTGGATGGAAGGACGGAGAAGGCGCCTCCAGAGAAACAGCCTATTCTGATTAGACCCTACTCATTAAACACAGAGATCATGGAGAAATTGAATTTCCACCTCAAAAAAAAGGTCCTAGAGATAAAGTTGGGAATTCCTTTAAAAGCAAGTGCGTTCCAAGAGACAACCGCAGGAGACTCAGAGGGTGAGTCTATACAGGAGCCTCTCGGGAGTCCGTGTACCTCAGAGAGCACACTCCTGCAGGAGCAGACCACCTCATGTGACTTTCCTCTAGCCCCAGATCCAAATAAGGTCCACCTTAAACAGCCAGCTACTGCAGTACAGGCTGTGTTTCAGAAGCAAAAGCAACCGAGTTCCAGAGCAGAGCCCCATAGTTCTGCCCAGCAGGGTTCTACAGCCTCTCAATTCCACAGGAATATGATTGAGGCCCAAGTGCACTATGTTCAGATGGGGACCAGTGGGGAAACGCCCAGACTAGGGGAACCCTTTAGCCTTGAGTCCCAAAGCCCAGGCAAGAGTAAGTACTCAGGCCATGTCCCCACAGTGACAGGCAAGAGCAAAACTCCAGGGAAACCCCAGGCAGTGGGGGACCTTGGAGACGGGGATGCAGGTCTTGGGCTTTCTCTGGTCAGTCAAAAGACACACCAGGATGGAGAGCAGGAGCCAGAAAGGAAGCCCCTGCACAGACCCCAGGGCTCCTCACAGCAGGGCCATAACTTTTATCTTGAGGCTGCCTGTCCACACAGCCTCCAGGAGCCCCCTGAGCTTGAGTTCCCAGATCCACCTCCAGAAATCTTTGTGGAGGCAGACTCTGAGCAGGACACGGAAGACAGTCAAAGTGAGGAATATATTGTCCTGGAACCTGCAAGGATTCCTCAAGTCCCCCAGCCCGGGGTCTCCCAAGCTTCCCAGGGCCTTCCTTTCCCATGCTCACCAATTCAGAGAAAGCCTTTTCAGGGCCATACTTGTCCAAGTCACTTTTCACCAGGGCATATGATGCCAGCCCCTCTTTACACTAAGGCCAGCCGTCTTCCAGAGGCTGGCTTGAAAAATAAGATGAAAATCTTTTTTCATTCTATTAACCCCAAGATAAAGAGCAAAACACACTCAGAACCATCCATAGTCTCTACACCTGGAAAGGTAGCCAAAACTAGTAAGGAAAATGTTGAAAGGGGTCTGTCTCGAACCAAGATCCCCATCAAGAAAACTAAGTCAGAGGACTCCAGAGGGCCCAAGGCCCAGTCTTCGTCCTCTGAGAAGTCAGTGATCGCCCCCTGTCTAACCTCTTCCCATATTCTAGACAGTAGGTTCTGGCCTCGCTCTCGACAGGTTGGCTCTGTCTTAGTCCTAGGCCACCCCTACCATTGCCCTCGACACTGTCCTAGGTTGGCTTATGCCACTAAACAGAGAAACCCACCCTAAGTCCCAAGGTTCACCTCAGAAATGTTGTTCTGCTAATGGAGACCACTCAGGGTGATGGCAGCCTCTAGGCTCCCCCTCCTCTGTATCCTTTAAAGAGAATGATTGTTATTTTCTCTAATGAACAGGTGGATTAAAGATCCATAATATATTATGTACCTGTAATGAAGAGTTATGTCTTTTCTTGTCTCTGCTGTACATTATTAAGGGAAGGGATGCAGGAAACACTGGCATCCACCTCCATCCCAGAGAGGAAATTTAGCCCCAAATTCTCATGGCTCTTTTTAGAGAAGTACCACTAGCACACCTTGCTTGAAGGGAGATGTAGCCAACAGCAAAGTAGCTAAAAGGAAAATACACATCATGTATATGACAAACATTACAACTGAGTTGTGGAATCTCCGTGTTCACTGCAGTGCTGTTAGGAATATCTTTCTGAGGACCCATTTGGAAGCCTGTTACAGCCCCTTTGCCTGGTTCTTGTGCTTCAGTCGTGTGGCATTCATAGATGCCTCCTTGGAAGGAAGATCCATGGAGGGTGGGAAACTTAGGGAGGAAGCTCTTGTACTTGGAACAAAGCTGCTGTGTTCCTGATCTTCATGCAAGGAAATAAGGTCAGTTTTGTTAGCACTAAAGCCTAAGTAGGAGGCTAGCCCAAGGCCGAGCTGTGTGGGGATAAGAGTGTAAGGCCATTGTAAGCTGCTTGCACGACCAAGGAGTGAACTGAACATTAAAGATTCTTGGCTAAGATCTATGGCACCAGAAGCTATGTAAACATATGTGAGCCTGTTAAGGCCAATAGCTTGTGCCATGCCTTGTCTGTTATACACACACACACACACACACACACACACACACACGCCTGTCTTTTAATCCACCCTCTCTTCTACCACCCTTACTCTCCCAATACATTTTAATTTTAATTTAATTTTTTAAAAAGATGTATCTATTTATGTATATGCATGTTTTGTCTGGATGTATATCTGCACACCAGGAGAGGGCATTATGGGTCTATGTTGTGGGAGACAGTTGTGAACTGCCATGTAGGTGCTGGAAATTAAACTCAGGACCTTTGGAAGAACAGCTGGTGTTCCTAGTGGTTGAGCCATCTCTCCAGTATTACTTTTTTGCATGTGGATACTTTTTCTGCATCTATGTCTATTGGGATACACTGTGGAAGGCGTGTCTCTGTGTGTTCAATTGATAATTCTGTGCCAGCGGAGAGCTAAATGCTGGCAGGATCTTGGTACTGTATTTCTGTGGCTCATCTCATATTTTGCAGATATTTGTTCTTCCTCACCTGCCTAAGGCAATCTAGAATTGTATCTGATTTGCTGCAATAAAGATCTGAGGGCCGATAGCTGGTCAGGAAGTGGAAGGCAGACAGAGAAGGATTCTGGGAAAATAACTGAGATGTGGGAAGTACAACCAGTGGACATGGAGGTGAATGGACAGAGCAGAGCAGAGTGGAGGGGTAGAGCTGGCCGTGTGGCACGGTGGAGTGCCAGGATTAGTACAGTTAGAGTAGTTGGGAGATTGCCCACGCTGAAAGGCCTAAGCTTTAAAATATTAGGTCTCTGTGTCATTATATCACTGGCAGGTCTGAGATAGTCCTGCTCTTTATGTCTGTACACTACATGTGTACATGTGCCGACAAAGGCCAGGAAAGGGCATCAGGTCCTGTAGAGGACACAGCTGGAAGGCTGTCAGCAATTAGGATGTCCACATGAGATTTGCCTTTCAACTATGTTCAATTTATTCACACAAACATTCCTTACAATGCCATGTTAATATAAAGATTAAACAGACACCTCACCAAGTGGAGAACAAACAGCTGGGCAGAGCCTGCTGCATGGTTCGAATGGGGACTTTGCTCCAGTTAGGTGCTTTGGGAGCTTGGTGACTCAACCCATGTCCTCCATGAAGTCCTCTGGCTATGACAGGCCAGGAGGATGTCACTTGTGGAGGTTCCAGCCAGATGCTAGTGCTCATAGACAGGTAGGCATGTGTTAGCAATGGTGCTGGAAACAGCCATCAAAGCCAGCGTCACACAGAGGCAGCCTCAAAGTTGCCTTGCTGATGGTCTTATGATGCTGTCTTGGGAGCACAGCACAGCAATGTAGTCCCAGGGTCCACCTTCAAAGTTCCATTTTTTTTTTTTTTTTGGTATCATTTCATTGGGCCTTAGCTTTACTCCTGTCTGGGGCACTCACATCTTAGTGGGTTACTTATACAGCAATTCCACTTTGGGATTAGTTCATTAGAACATCAGACTCTGTCATGGGCTCAGCTCCTGTCTGAGCTTGCTTATGGCAGGCTCCTAGCTTGTAGGCAGATAAGACACATAAACTGGTTTTCAAGTTACACAAAATGGTTTCACTTATGTTCCTAAAAGATCCTCTGGAGCTGGAAGTTGGGAGTAGGTTTGTCATGCTGGAAATCAACCCCTGGAAGATCAGCCTGTGCTCTTAACCTCTGAGCCATCTCTCCACACAATATACTTTCGTAGCAGATACTGGTACTGATCTTAGTCAGCTGAGCCCCCTCCCATGATGTGCATGGTTAATTGTCTACCATAGGATGGCTCTTGTGCTTCTTCCCACCAAGGACAGTTCCACAAGCCTTAAGTTAGGTCAGTCTGCTTTCTCTTCGCCCATCTGGCTTAGTCAGGATTCTCACTGTTGTGATGAAACCATGACCAAAAGCATGTTGGGGCTGGAAGGATGTATTTATCTTATGCTTCCACATTGTAGTCCATCACTGAAGGAAGCCAGAACAGGAACTCGAATAGGGCAAGAGCCTGGGGGCAGAAGCTGATGGAGAGGCTGGGGGTGCTGCTTACTCACTTGCTCCCCCTGGCTTGTTCAGCCTGCCTGCCTTATAGATCCCAGACCACCAGCCCAGGAATGACTCCACTCACAATGGACTGGGCCCTCCCCATCAACTACTAATTAAAAAATGCCCTAAAGGTTTGCCTACAGCCCAGTCTTATGGAATCATTTTCTTTATGGAAGACCCCTTCTCTCAGATGACTTTGGCTTGTGTCAAGTTGACATAACACTATTCAGCATACTGTCTATTTCTTCATTATGATCTACTGCATTTTAGAAGGCATCAAAACCCTCCACCTAGACTTCAAAAGGAGACTTTTAGGTTCTTTAGAAAGTGTCCCATCTACTCAATAGCCACAAAATGTGATCAAAATTCTGGAGTTTAATAACATGTATAAGTCAACAGCCAGATTGTGAGGTCCAAAGGAAATGCCATTTCCCCAAATTCTGGCAGTCAGACAAAAGCCAGCATTCTTTGGGAACTTGTGAAGTCAGTACTCCTCTACCAACAAGAGCCATTCCCCTTATGGCAGAAGGACAGATGGATGTCTGTGGTGCCTGTGAGCATACCAAAACACATGCTGGTCTCCAGTCTCCTCAGTATCACAAGGACCTGTTGCACACTTCACAGTCCATGGTAGCATCTCAGCTCTTCTCAGCTCCTCCCCTACCCTAAACCTCCGCAGCTCACAGGCTTCCCTCCCCCAGCTACTCTTTCCTACACCTCTTCTATTTCGGCTATGCTCTTTTTGTGCTCTCTCTCTCTCTCTCTCTCTCTCCCCCCCCCCCTCTCTGTCTTCCTCTCCTTCTTTATCTATTTGCTCTGCTGCTGCTTCTCCCGTGGTCGGGTCCAGTCTGCCGGGCATGCTCAGTCTACTACGTTCTCTCTCTGCTCTAGACTTCCAGATGCCTCCGGCTCTTCTCTCTCTCATATCTACAGTAAAACCCTCCTTAACCACACCATGAAGCAGATGTGTCCTCAGTTTAGACACAGACCAAAGATCTGTATTTTGCTGTTTTTGCTGGCAATGTCTAGTACTGGGCATTTCGGGGACATCTGTTTATTACTAATGAAGACGTTTTATTCGGTTTTGTGAAATCCTTGTAAGGAAGTGGAGAAAGCAAACAGGTTGAAAGGCAAGCTGAGGGAGACTGTAAGCAGAATCTAAGAAACGTAAGATCCAAACTGTGCCTTGTCTCTATTTAAGCCAGTAGAAAGTCTCTATTGTTTGGCTGACAACTACATTAGGTATTCAGGATCCCAGTGTAGCCAGAGCCTTTCTTGGGTGAGCTTTTAAGCACAAAAACTACATTCTGGATTGACACACTTCATAAGCCAAAAGACAAGGAAACTACATTTAGAGACTTTTCTTGAACCATGAATTTTGATAGATTAGGTCTTTGTTTCACTTTTGGCAGGTGGTGCTGTCTACATGCTGAGTATTAAATCCTGAGTGGCGTTTATATCATGGAGTCAGTTGTGCTAAGGTCTGGGGGCCTGTTATAATCCCATCCCTACTAGTGAGTAGGTGATTCACCACCAAAGGCTTTGGTGGCCCCGGACACAAAGACCTCCACATTATCCTCAATTTCACTTGAACCTATGAGGAAAGAAGACTGGTTTTCCTCTGCTAATTACTCAGGATGGGACAAGCATTCCTGTCCCTGAGGAAAAGACTGGAAACTTAAGCCTTGGCACAACAATGGAGCTCAAGGCTGTGCTTGCATCATAAAGTCAAAGATTTGAGTTGGAAAGAAACTTTAACTGAAGTGGCCAGAGACTGACTTTAACAAAGATGACAAATATGAAAAAAACTCTGTGTGTGTGTGTGTGTGTATGCACACATGAAACATTTCAATAGTCTTTGAGTAGTTTGTTATTTATTTATCTATTTTTGACAATTTTTAGGTCAAATATCTGACCTCTTGGGGGAAAGATACACATTAAGGTCAAAGTTACAAGGATGGAATGTAGAAAACAATCCTCAGCTCTGACAAGTTAACATTTCTAAGCCCCAGTTTCTTTTGGGGGCAGTTGTCTTAGTTAGGTAGTACTGCTGTGAAGATACCATGAAAGTCTTATAAAGGAAAACATTTAACTGGAGATGCTTACTGTTTCAGAGGTTTAGTCAATTGTCGTTGTGGCGGAAAGCATGACAGGCAGACTTGGTG